TGCTGAACTGTGGTGTGGACAGACTTTGTCTTCCCCAGCTAACATTCTGTCACCTTTCAAGAGAATAAAATTCATTTTAGCAACAAAAATCCCAAGTAAGAAACCCCAAATAATTTAGAGGAAACCACCACAGAGGTATACAATATCCAGTTGAAGACCTTGATGAAAACTGCACAGATTATGCTTGTTATATGTGGTTAAACTGGGCCATTGATGTTAAAATGGTTCAAAACACAAAATAAATTCTGATTTTCTTCTGTCAGAGTTTGTGGTTCGGTGTTCACACATTCTAGGCTACAGTTAAATGATTTACTGTACAATTTAATGCCTTTCAGCTGTCACTCACACAAAAAGATCCCTTGAACAATCTGCCAGCAAATGAAGGCAACACTTGTCCAGGGTGGAGTTTGGCCAGGACTGGAAAACCCAACGTGCCAAGACACGCAGGAGCAATCACGTAACCCACTGTGACCCACACTTGGTACCCAGGAAAGTGAAGGCCACACGGCTGTGACCTTATCTGCAAAAACAATGAATTTAAAATATACCGAGACATTCATTCTGCTGTGGGGCTTTTGCGAGTAGCTGCCTCTACAAAGGCTTGTATCGCAGGCTTGCTGCTATTCTTTGTCTTTCTTTCGAAATTTCTCTGTTCCTGGTCTTTAAATGGTGTGAATTTTTGAAGTTTTTCTCAAAACTCCTTCAAAATAGCTTTTTAAAATTCCAGTTTTCACATAGCAACAGGGTGAGGAGAAACAGTTGCCATGGGACAGTGAAAAATGTACTTCAGGAGCAAGGAAGGAAATAAAAAAGCCACAGCTCTTTGGGAATTATACATTTTAGGATTTGACATGGCCTTGAGTTCTTCGCTTTGGCACTAGTTGGAGTTGTAACGTGCCTCTTATGGACCAAATATCAGTGTATGAACAGCACCTGGCTGTGACTTCAGTCACTAATAAGCTTCATCCACCTCTGGACTGAAACTGTAGAGAGGCACTCAGTGTGGAAAGAGCCAGAACCTCGTCTATCATTTCTACGTCAAGTCTGTAGCTTCATTTTAACTAATAGCATTATCTTTTAGAATGCCCTGCTTTTAAGACTCAGGTGATGAAAAATCTGCCACAGTCCAAGGTGAAACCTAATGGTTACTTAGTTCACTGTTAAAAACATGTACCCTGGATCCAGCCTGAAATTTATTTAGATTCAATCTTTCAACCCCAGTGGGTATTTTTGTAAAAGGGAATTGGTCCTGTGAGTAGCTGAAGACTGTGGCTGAGATATCTTTTAAAGATTTCCTCCCTTCCGCTGATCTGATGGAGAGCTGGTTGAGCTCACTTATCCAGCAGCAAACGGCTTTTTTTCTGGTGAGGACGGTGCGTGGGGTGAAGGAAAGACCTCTCTCCTAGCAGCAGGGAGCAATTCAGGCAGCTCAGCCAGTCCTCTTGAATCGTGTTCAAAGTTTCTTACTCTTTGACACGCTTTTCTGTGATTCTCAATAGCTCTTGCTGCTTTCTTCTCAATTCTCATAAATTTTCCAAGATCCCTTTTGAAATATGGATACTGGAAGTAGATTCTCTTTTTTTTCTGGAACTAGTGTTACAGCTCTTTAATAACAACATCTGGTTAAGATCTTTAATTCTGTCTGTCATAGAAAATTACATCAACATCACTGCAAGGTCCTCTCTTGCCCTTTCAAGTGAGCGATGATTCAGTACCGCCTGAAAGGGAAGAGAGCCACCGTCAGCTCCTCATTGCTGCTTCTCCCCTCTGTCCTTTCATGGGTAACTAACTCAGCTGGGACACCTCTGTTTAACTGGGAGAAGCGGGTGGGATTAAACAGCTCAAGATGCTCCTGAGTCTGGGACAGTCTCCAGGGCCTGGCTAACGCATCTCACCCAGAATGGCCTGAAAGTCAAGCAAACCTGCATGCGTTCAGCAGAAGTTACTTCTAGGCTCCAAATACGTCCCATAAAGAGCCGAGTTAAGCTTGTGCTGTGCTGTATTTTCAGATCCAAAGCAGTGAGGCAGTAGCTTTATAGCTGCACTCCAGTTTCACAGCAAAATTATTTGCCTCTGGTAACAATTTCAGAGATATGAAATAACGCTGGTGTTTCACTTCTGTTTATAAGAGGAAGAAGCCTGAGTGGAGTGTTACACAATGGTTAGGAAGGTGGCACTAGTAACAGATGAGGTTGTAATTACTGTAAATCATTTTCAAGGTTTTTAAAAAACTCTCCCACCCCCTTCATTTCAAAGGGACATTCATTGGCTTGTCTTTTGGGGACCTTATTATTTGTTGTGCTGGGTACGACGGACAAAGCATACCTCCCAATTAGCCATTTTTTTCCTTGTAATTTTTCCCTCTCTATTTTCTGGGATGCTGAAGGGGACACATACAAAAGGAATGAGTTTTGCTAGGAGAGGAAGCAGAGTTAAAAAGAAATGTGGGATTTTGCATTCCTCTTTCCATCAAGATGTTGTGTTCAGCAGATCTTTTTCTTTTATCTTAAACTCTTCCAGAACAACCTTTGCGATGGATCTGAGAGTACTGCAGCGTAGTCAGAGCTGTTGCATGAGGACATGTCCAATCCACTTAAAAAAGTGAGCAGGAATCTAAATATTTAGCTACCCTTATGGCTCTTTTCAGGTACTTTGTGTACTTAACAGCTCACCCATTTCACTTAGGTGTTCGTGTTACTCATTTGCTTCAGAGAAGACTGCTCTCTCAAGCAGAACAGACTCGTCTGAGTGATCAAAACCTGTTTCAGTCAAAATACTAACCAACAAGCTATTTTCTTATTGTCCTCTAGATCCCCAAGGAAACGTCACATCCCAGGCATTCTGCTGCCCACATGGTTGCTGCTCCTTTTGCTTGTGGGTGGTCCACAAAGTGTCCAAAAACGTTGTAGTACTATTGTACTGCCAGGGACAAGTGCGGAGTTAAACACGGCATTACTGCAGTATTGAATGGCTCCTCCAAACAGGCCAGAAGTGGGGAATTCTGCACGAATGCAATTCTTGTGGATTTTCAGTTACTTGGGGTCTATTTGGCTTGTTTGTTTGTTTCTTTATTTGAAGTTACTGAGTTTTAACTCAAACCAAAGAAAGCGAGCAGTAGTAGAGGGGAAAAACCTATATCAAATATTTGATGCAAGGCTGGGAGAGCTGGGGTTGTTTGGCCTGGAGAAGACAAGGCTCCGAGGAGACCTTATTGCATCCTTTCAATATATAAAGGGGGGCTTATAAGAAAGATGGAGAGAAACTTTTTACCAGGTCCTCTAGTGACAGGACAAGGGGCAATGGTTTTAAACTGAAGGGGGGTAGGTTTAGATTGGATATAAGGAAGAAATTTGTTACAATGAGGGTAGCGAGACACTGGAACAGGTTGCCCAGAGAAGATGTGGATGCCCCATCCCTGGCAGTGTTCAAGGTCAGATTGGATAGGGCTTTGAGCAAACTGACCTATTGAAAGATGTCCCTGCCCATGACAGGGGGGTTGGACTAGATGATCTTTAAAGGTCACTTCCAAGCCAAACCCAAAACCTATGATTCTATGGTTCTATATTACTAAATCATACGTTGTAAAGATGTTCAGGAAAAGCTGCAGAGACCCACAGGGCTTATGGTGATCCCAGTTTCAGTTCCTTGGTGGCAACAAAGATGCATTTGCTTCCAGAGGATCAGTGCACCCACCTCACCTGGGGTTGCTGCCCTTACCCCAGCACCAACTGGTGGGGCTCCTCTGGGCTTGGGGAAGTTCCTACTCTCACTAATCTCAAAGGTACACAGAAATGAACAAAATCTCCAAACCCACCTCTCCCTGGAGAACCCTCACACGTCATTGTTAAGTGGATTGGTGTAACTTGTGACATCTGAAACACTCGGGAGCTCTGGTAATTTTTGGGGTGGGAGAAAGTGTCAAACTAGGTCAGCATTTCAGCTGCATTTCACAGTTGATCCCTTTTAAGAATTAGCCTTGGCGGTGCAACTATCACTACTGAATCACAGTCTTATATGTGATAAATAAAGTGAGGCAGTACAGTCAATACCAAGTTTCTGGTTCAGAAAATACCCTCTTTATTGTGGCTGTAACTGTAAAAGGGGAGAAATCTTTACTCTTTTACATAATAAAGTGGTTTTAAAAATGGACTTGAATTGTGCTGAGCATTCACTTAACTTTTTTTAATAGTGGCACCATCTGGGAGATGTATAGGTGTGGCAGTCACTCTCCAAATAGACCTGGGAAGAGGTGGTACCCACAGCAACCACCCTCTTGCTGAAGGGTGGAATTGTGCATGCTGAAAACAGCCAGGATTTTAATTGAGCACTCTGATTTTCAGCTGGATTAGCCTAAATTGAAGTAAGCCAGAGTCCAGCACACGAGGAGTTCACATAGTAGCCAAGTTTGTCCAACAAAGTCTGATGACCAGTAGTATGAGGACTGGGGAAAATGCTAGCCCCGGGTCATGGCAGACTCCATTTGGCAAGGCTTCTGCAAGCTGGGCATGATGAATAACACAGAAGATGCTGAAACGTGATGCATGAGGTATAAACAGTGTGAGGTGGCCTTTCCAAATACTGCCTGCTGGAGAATTAATGGAGTCCCGCTGGTCCTTACCTATGTGTGAGGCTCGCTGGGGTCGCTGGGCGGGAGGAAGCAGCACAACTGGAGCACGCTGATGAAGGGATGTGTATCGGTGCGTGACTGGCTTAGGAACAGTGCACCAAGCACTTTGTATGGGATGAGCAAGTTTTGGACTTTTGTTGGAACTGCCGGTAGGAAGAGCTGTAATGAAACGGAAATGGAATGGAAACTAGGAAATATGAAGTGAAACAAGAAACTGGGTGTGCTATTGTGGATGATAAGTCAGCAATAATGAACAGCTGGGCACTCAGCAATGTACTTAATTTTTTTCTAGACCCTTATCTGTTTCATGAGATGATACTCATGAAACTGATGGGGAATATGGGAGGAGATAAAGAATATGTATATTTGTCCTAGAGTGGTGGTGAACATCCCAGAGAAGGGAGTGTGGGCAGCATGCAGGGAAGCCTGGGGAGGCTGCATGCAGAAGACCATGGAGAGGCCTGAGGAGCTGCACTGTCACAGTGTGCACAGGCAGAAACTGGCAGCCTTCAGGGACGCAGAGGTCATCGTATAGTAGGGACACCACTGGGGCATATACCTGCCTGCTGGGGGGAGCTGCGTAGGCTTTACAGAGCCAGCTGGCTCTGGCTGTTCTGAGTGTTTGACTTTACAATGCAAATTATGGTCTTTTGGTGCAAGGTTTTACACGTAAAAAGTTGTAACCCAAGGCACAGGATGGGCAGGACGATGGAGAGAAGCACCTTTCTTGCAGGCCAAAGATGCCACCCCAAAAGGGGGGGGGGGGGGGGGGCGGGGGGGGGGAGAAGCGCCGTTCTTTCAGGCAGAAAAAACCCCCCCAAAAGGGGGGGGGGGGGGGGGGGGCCTGCATGTGTAGAGTCAGCATGGCTAGAAGGAGCCTGGGGAAGAGTGGTGCCTGGGTGACTCTGGATCTGTATCCTTAATCCTGCAGATGCAACGGGTGGGGTGTATTAGGAAACACTCGCCCAAGGACTGTGCTGCAGATGCAGGATTTGCTTCTGGAAGTGCAGGCCGGTAGGATGCCCGGTGGGCAGAGCAGGAGGAGGCAAAGACAGGGTGTGACTCAAATCAAATATATCCTTTGCAAAACCCAGTGGTACAAGAAACATCGACCTGCAGTTTGATTTTGCAAACGTTTAGCTCTTCAGTACAAGTGGTCAGTGTGCCACTCCCCCATCATGTCCATTTCACGTGGGATCTGCGTAAGCAGGGACTCAAAAGGAAGGCATCTGAACACTGTGCTGAGCGGGCTCACAGGGCGGTGCATTCACTGGAGATGCTGTTTGCATGACACACTGGTTTCGTGTTCTGCTTTTCAGGCACAGTGGGGCACGTTGAGCCAACACACAGTGCAAATGGTGTCACTGCAAGTTCAAGCCAACACCTCATTCACCCAATAAAATCTACTTGGCCTTCAAATAGCCGAAATGTGTTTTGGAAGCACTGCTGGTCTTGAGCACATAACTTTTTCCTTCTCCTGGGACATTTAGGCTTTTGATTTAGACACCCTGACAAATATTTAAATGGTTCTAAAGAAAAGCAAGCTTTTAAAGAGGTGTTTCTCTTTGGTTTCTCTTTTTGGGTACTGTGGGGCCCCATTGACTGCTGGCTGTGGGCAGCCTCACCTCCTCTTCTGCCCAGGCTGTCCCCAGGTAGCACCAGCAAGGCCAGATGCTGAAGCCAGTGCCATGTTTCACAGCTTCTCTGTCATTTTGGGGCACATGTGCCCAGAAGCAGCTGGTCACCAAGCATGCCTGGCATTTGAGCTTATCCCAGTAGACCAGGTTGCAGGAGAGTGGTCCCTTCTGCAAAGCATGTGCTTAAAGCACAGGCTGGCCTCTCCTCCCTCTCCAGCCGTAAAATCCTCCAAGGATACACCAGGAAAGAAAGTGTAAGAAAGGACTTAGGATGTCCCTCGTAAGCATCTGAACTGCTTATGAGCCGCGGCTTGGCCAGACAGGGTTTGTGTACTAAACCCTCTGAATTCACATTTCCATGGAAAGATTTGTGCAACAAGGCTGTTCCTGTCCTCTGATGGGCTATGTGGGAAGGATTAAAATTCAATTTCTGTAGCTAGTATAAATAATAGAATATGTTGTTCTAAGCCAAAAATAGAGAGTTGTTTTTTTTTCTAACTTTAAGTTGTGATGGTTCATTTAGATTAATATCGTCTGAATGCTGCGAACCTTGGAAAGCCACAGAGGTAAGCAATAAATCTGCTCAGATCTGTGTGCATGCATTTTCCACACCCTGCCGTTCTCCTAACCCATTTGTTCTGTGCCCAGTTCAGCTTTCTAGCGTTTTTGAGTGTCGGTGAACTCACACGGCCGGGCTGGGCAGCTGCCTCCAGCCAGGCACCGAGGAGTGTGCCGTCAGCCGTGCTCTGGCAGGAACTGAGTGCTGGGAGCCATGCACAAATTACTGGCCTGTAGCTCAGCAGCCACCCCGTCAGAGAGCTGCAAGAAAAAATAAACGACAACAACTGGGACTCATTTCACTTGAGAATTTTTTTTTAACTAGTTGCTTTTTCATTTAAAGCATCATGTGAGCAAATCTTGCTGGCACAGTTTAGAGCTGGAGAGGGTGTTGCTGGTCTAATCACCATCTTAAGGTTTGGGTATGGCCTGGCTAATCACAGCACCTTGTCACCTCACCGAACTTGAAGTCGTATTCACACTGCAAGACCTGTGGGATTTAGTAGGATTTAATCCCTGTTATGGATGAGAGCACTTTTGGCTGATGCAGTTTCTCTAGACTTGATCTGAAACGCCTGCAAGACCTGGAGCTGCTGTGGAGCTTTGGCTCCGAGCGATGCCTCAATGGCACCCGCTGCGGTGCCGTGGGCAGGGCAGGCACCGGAGAAACCCTGGTGCAACTTCAGGCTGTTTCAGGCAGCTCCCGCTCTGCTGCTGTCGGATCTCCCTCAGTATCTGCAAGTAGGAATTTTTTCTGTCATGGACAAACTCAGTGGAACAGGTGATGTAGAGAAGTGAGAGGGAGGGAAAGGTAACAAATCTGTCCAGCAGAAACAAAGGTGCAGTGTTTGAACTAATAGTACTAGGTCTGGCCAAAGCTTTGAGCCTGGCTTTTGGAGTTTGAACCTCACAGGCAGCAAGTCATCTGGAACAGCTTTGAATTTTTTTCTTTATCATTTTTTTACCTTAATATTCCTTGAAATGCAGCTGAAGCTGGAAGAAGACCAACCGGACCATGCATTCACACCACATAGGGAAAGTGTGCCGGGTGCCGGCAGCCAGAGCTGCCTCCCGGTCAGAGCCACCCCGTGAGCATCGCCCTGCTCCCCCAGTGGCACGGCCACAGAGCTTGCTTTGCAGGTGGTAATGAAGTTATGCTGCTAATTCATGCATAGCATAAACAAGGAAAGACCCAAATTCTCTCCAGTTCCCAAAAAGTCAAGTGAAGAGGCATTAAAAGTGACATATTTTAAATCAAGCGGCATAGATGGAGTTAAGGGGATACTAACCTAAACTGTAAATTATCCAAAAAAGCATGTGCTTCAGTTCGCTAATGGCAGCGGTACAAAAAAGGCAGTTTGCCCTCAGGGCTTCTGTCTCTGCTTGCTTTCTGTGCCTTATGTATTTGTCCTTTGAACTGTTGTGCACACCTGGACTTAGCAGGGTGCTAATATTAGCTATCCAAATTATCGAGCACTATTAGAAGCACATTATAAAGCTATAATTTTGTCAGTTGCTTAAATTGGGATTTTTGGGCTAGAGCTATAGTGATTTAACATCTTATATTCTTTTACCAGTTTTGATTACCTCATAGCTGTTGCTCACAAATGCAGCATCTCCCTCTGGCTAACTACAAACTTTCCAAATGTTGTTAAAAAGGCAGTTTCTGTCTGACCTATTCTAATAGATTGGTATTTTGACTTTTCTTGTTGTTTTTCTTTAACTGGTTTTCATCTCTGGCACATACATGTGCTTTTCCCATACATATGCCCTATCCAGTGAGAGGGTGTGATAAATTCTGTAGTTTATTTTTTAATGGCAAAATTACTTCCAACTTTCTAGTGGACTTTTTCTGAGGTATTAATGTCTTCTTTTAGCATTGTCAAGTATCACGGACTTTTTCTTAAAACTTCTCTGACATGGGGGACTGCCTCTACACAGGAAACTTTGTGCTCACGCTGGCATTAAAGGCAAAGTGATGGAAAATTTGCTTGTAGAAAGTTGATGTTATTCAAGAAAAAGAGTTGTGTTACAGTGTGCGCTTTGAGGAATATTTTTTCCTCTTGTAACCTTTCTGACTATATTCTACTCATGATTAATGATCTTTCCCAAAGTCAGTGGTGAAACTCAGAAAACCAAGCAACAGCACTTAGTGTCTTTGGAACAAGTAGCAAAATAAATTACTCCATATAAAAGACTACACTCATTTTTAAGGAAGCACTTTCTAAGAAATTGACAGGAGCAGAAAAAGTTCAGCCAAAGTATCTGAGGGATTTTAAGTAAGAAATTTCTGTGCTTTTTACTGTGGCATGTGACCAATGTCTTCAGCCAATCTTTGTTACAGAAAGAGTAAAAAGCTAGCAAATGTGACATCCATGTTTATAAACAGCTCCTGGGGCATCCCTGGAGATTAAGAGCACTTACACATTTAACCTCAGCCTAATATTAATCTCCTTCTTTCATCTCTTTTAAGGAAAAATCTCAAAAAATGTTTCCATCCTCATCTCGTCGCCCTGGGTTTTCATCCCCCAAGTGTCTTCTCCTGTGCCTCATCCTCTGTTTTCCATCCTCTTTCGATTTGATGAGGGTGCTTTGGGGAGAGCACTAAATCAGGGTGGAGGCTGAGCTCCTTTCCCGCCCCACAGCCCACTTTGCTGGCCCTGCTGAAGGGAAAAGCCCAGCTCACACCACCAGCTGGTATTTTGTTTTCTTGTCTGTAGATACAGCAGATCATCCTTTTTCAAAGGATATCCTTTTTCAAAGCTGATTTCAGCACAACCAACAACAGCCTCGGTGTGGGGGAGAGATCCACAGGTTGCCAGGACATAGGTAAGAGTATGGGGACTGCGGTTTGCTCTTCCAAAGCTCCCGCAGCCCAGCGATGCAGCATGCACAGAGGCAGGCTGGCTGTGGGTCATATCCTGCCCTGCCTTGACGCCGGAGAACCCCATGCCCCAGGCTCCCCCCAGTCCCCGAGGAGGTCGGGGAGGTGCTGGGGGTCCCACGGGAGGCGTGAGACTGAGGGCTGGGGGACCACCACTTTGGACCCCATCAGCCATAGCTGTTACACACATCCACGCTAAGAAAGCTCCTTCTTCAGCAAACCTGAGCTGTTTTACTGCCATCCCGGGCAAGGGTATCAGGCAAGTGGCCAAACCACCTTGTTCGGGCTGTTTCTCGTTATCGCCTGGGGTGTAATGGGGGACTGGTCGAGCCATGCCCCTCCTTCCCCAGCCGCGTTTCTCCCTGCACCGGACCCGCAGGGCTGCAGCCATGCGTGGCGACGGGGGGTTGGTCTCCTGTTGGATCAGACTTGCTGGGCAGCATCTACAGTCCCACCACACGAAGGACAACGTAAAAACGGATCCTTAGAGAGCTGTCCTCCCTCTCGCTGGCCTAAGCAAGTCTTTTTACTTGGCCTATGGGTCCATTGACTAAGTAAGAACAGCAAGGTCAGGTTAATAAACCAGACTTTTCCTTTGTAACTCAAAACCTCTCACTCAATACGATTAATTTTATGCCCCAAATTATGTGTTATTTATTTTTATTTGTCTCCCAGATAATAAGGTTCCCAGAACTGCAGTATAGCCAGGGTCAGTAATCATTTGTTGAAGTGGATGTTGTTCTTCAGCGCAGACAGAAACCATTTCCATTGCTTCCTAGCCACAGCACATCATTACAAATTGCGCAGCCCTTGACCGCTGCAAGAAGAAGCACCCAAACCTTGTACAGTCTGAACACAACACAACAGGGGAGCATCACCCTTGACCAGGAAACATCGCCAGCGCTGGACTATTACCCGCTTGGAGAGAGGCTCTGAGGAGAAGATCCCGGGTACTGGAGGCACCACGAACAGGGCACGCCAGCTGGCAGTGCAGGGGGGGAAAGCAGGACATGGTGGAGGGCAAATACAGGGACAGAAACACCTGGCCTTCAGTACTATCCCCTGCTTTGCAAAGGCACAAGAAGAAGTTGCTCTTCTGAAATATTTTTAAGAGCTGTGGGGCTAAAAGCAGAGACAGGGAAACCAGCCCCACTGTGCCACTGTTTTATGAGGGTGATCCAGAAAAGCCATCGTCCCAGCCCAGCGCTGATGAGACCACAGCAGGCCACACAGAGCAGGCCTCGAAAAACTAAAGCAGCATCTTTATTTTATACATAAACGTCAGTATAAAAAAGTTTATTACATAAGAGCTGTTTTGTTTACAATATATTATATTGCTTCAAGCCGATGCAGAAAGTTCATACATTATAGTTCTACTTTGTTTACAATATATTACGTTGGTTAAATGGCACCGCTGCAGTGTATTTTTAATACACAGTACTTTTTGCAAAACTGTAAGGCCAAAAATAACATTGAATTGAGTTATTCAGTTTTTAAATTAGGCAACTTATTTATTTTATTTATTTTTCTTAGGGAAAAGTCTAAATATACAATAGCAAAAATGTAACATGCACCTTTCCTTTGTCTTAGGCAAATTAAATCTGTAGTCATTGAAATGATTCAGGTTAGCATTAGGTTTTCTGCTTGAATATTGTTACTCAGTTTTTGGAAAATATTTGCAGCTATATAATCAAAAAAGGAAGTTTAAACATAACTGAAGTATAGTACAAAACACCATCGAAAGCACTGAAAGAAGAAGCCTATATAATCATGCTATAGAAGTATTTATAAAACTTAAAAGGAATAGTAAATATCAGCTCAGTGGTTTATAATGAAGCTAATAAAATTCCAGCTGGTAATCTTAACTGCAATGAACAGCGTTTTAACATTCAATCCATGAGAGGTTAATGAAGACTATGAACTTTGTGTTAGCACGAACCGTTTCAGATGTTGGAGTTCACCAGATATAATTGGATTCAGGTGGAACATGCCTCTCCTCGGGCCTTTTTGGCGAAGGCGTGTGCTGCCTGTGCTTGCTGCCTGATGGCCTCAGGGCACTCAGACTGCTGGCTCCGTACCCTGGAAAATTATCCAAATCAAGAGAAAAGAAACCACAGGAGTGGGCTCGCGATCCACTGCTAATATTTCGAGTGGAAACAGTCCCGCCCATTTGAACAGAAGAGTTTGGTACACCTTACGCAAGCGCTCGCCCCTCTCTGTGCCCTCCAGGATGGACGAGGTGCTGCTGGATGGAAAGATGCTCTCGCTTCGCCAGGGAGCCCAGGGGACCATCAACACGCCCAGGCTGTCAGTCAGCCCTGGGTTCATGCGTGCACAGCCCACGCCGGGTGGCTGAGAGTCATGCCGATCTGCCAGCGATGGGCTCTAAAGAGGGGCATGAGCATCGCCCCAGGGGAGAATCAGCACCAGCTACCTGAGCTTGGCTTTGGTTTATGGCTGAACGCAAAGAGAAAGAACAGCAGCAACAATAAACACCTAGCAGGGGGAAAAAAGCAGTCTGAAATAGGTTTAGCAAAGCTGCTTTGTTGTGGAAAATGAAAACGAACAATAAAAATGGAATTCAAATTATTATGTTGTAATTATTTATAGCTTCATTTACCCATCTCATTACTTAAAGCTCATGGAAACGGCGTTGAAAAACTGAGTCCCAGGTTCAATTTTTTTTTTAACCACTTCTTTTTAAGAAAACAGCTTTACCAAGGAGCTATTGATTTGATGGAGTATGAAGCAAGTCTCTCAAATTAACCATAAATCTCCTCTCAAGATCAGAAGATGTTTGGTTTTAGTTGAAAACAGTGAGTTGCAGTGCATGCAGACTTGTATGTGCAATTTAAGCCCTACATGGGCCCTTAAAATGGGGATGAATTTTACTCAGATGGCCCATTCTCAGTTTCTTTGCTGAATGCAAAGAGAGTTTTCCAGTGCTAAACACAGCAGGACTGTACCCAAACCCCAAGTAATTAAGGACGGAAAATGGTGGAGCTGACAATAATGTGTGACTATTGACTCCTCATAACATGGTAGTTATGAGTTTTGGGTTTGTTGTCCAGGTAATTACTGCTTTGGGGATGGTCCTCCATAGTACCTAGTTTTTTTCACTTGCTATCTGAGTTCTTTACAAGAAGAGTGTTTACAAGAAGAAAAAGTTCATATTGAACTTATGAAGTTCATATTGATTTCCATTTTTTCTAACCGTAATTTGTATTAATGGTATTTCTCCTTCAGGGAATGACATAAATACTTAAAACACAGGTCCACTAGCTAGCAGCAGCAAGGTGGGCTCCTCAAACCTAATTTTCACAGCATAATCCATTTTAGTTAGATAATACACATTTTTAAAATGAAACTATATTTATTCTAATATATTTTAATGTGATACAAATCACAGGCATCAACAGCATTTAATAAAAATGAACATTCAGTTGATGCTGCAATGTAAGGTTCACATTTTTTATGGCTAATTCGTGGGTTTTATAGCTGCAAATTTTTTCAACTTTTTTATCATTGCCACTTAAAACATTAAATGTGAATCATCAGCTAACAGTGTTTAAGCTAAACATTAGTACCTCATAGGAGAATGTACAGAATGTCTCCTGAAGATCTGCTGTCACAGCACTATTGCACATGAAATATAAAATTAAATCTGAAGTTGTTACTGGATATATCCAATTGTATTTCAAATAATTTTATAGTGCTACTTTAAATCCAGTGAAATGATCAATTGCCTCACTGGGTATCAAATGGGTCAATAAGCACAACAGAAATTAATTTTAAGGACTTTAACTTTCCTTTGGGACAATATCTTTTGTGGTCTGTGCAGCATGGGTGGGGAAGAGGAGGGGAAAACGTGAAAGTCGGTAAGCATACATCTTGCATAATTTTTCAAGTTTTCCCCAAAGTTTCTAAAGGACATTTTGTTTTTTCTAAGTTTTAATCAGCTTTAAAACTTGACAGAGTTTTATTTCTAGAAACGCCTACCCAACATTTTAAAGCCAGCTGACATTACTGAGGAGCACGGAGGGACTTTAGATCCCTTCCATACCACGAGTGGAAGGCAAATGAGGTCTTCTAGAAATCTGGTTGATATCAGATTCTGCAATTTCTAATATAAGGGTGATCTTGGTAAAACACTTCTAAATAATTCTGAGATTTTTTTAAGTTGTTAAAATTATGGAATATTGAAAATCTTCTGTTTATGGTGTGGATTAAAGATTAGAAAAAATGGAGTGCAGTATCATTAATGAGGCTGGAAAGGCTCTTGAAGCAGTCATTTCTGTATGGCATCGGATGTGTAAGACCCCCGATAGGGACTCCTGGGCTTTGCTTCTCACTTACTTTTATTGCAGTGTCTCCCGTGCCAGCCTTCTTTGCACTGGCATTTGTTGGGCTCCGCACAGGTGCCATACAGGCCACAGCCGGGTTCGCAGACAGCTGTAAGAAAGTGAGCGCACACGCCTGACCTCTTGACATTTCATCCAGAGACAGAGTTGCATATTTGCTTTCCCTGCCGTTGTTCCTCCTGATGGGTTGGTCCTGGCACAGGCTGGGGCTCTCACAGTACATCTGTGACTTTGCACTGAGTGTGTGCAGAGCCCCGAAACACTTCACCCCCCCCCCCCCCCCCCCCCCCCCCCCCGGCGGTGTTGCTGCCTCTGCCGGCGGGGGAAGGGAGCG